CATTGCATGTAACAGACCACCCTCAGGCAAAGGTATTTTCTCGCATGTTTTGACACTGTTCGAAAGCCCTCGAAACGTGCTGTCGAATGATATATATTTCGACGCATTACTGCGCAGCTGTCGTGAAATGACTATGAATTATGATGTAAAAGAGGTCAGAAAAATCAGTTTTCTGATTTTTGCGCTGCCGACAAAATATAAAGTTTTTTTCACTGGATTTCGTTGAAAAACATTTTTTCGTATCATTAGGAAGCATTCTGTGAGGAAATGAGAGCAAATTTGCCGTGGGCCGATTTCGGGTCTTATCGACCCCCGTCCTTTTGGATTAACTCTCTCCGAGATATGAATCTTTCAAAACATACAACTTCTATAAAAAATTGCCAATATTTTGAAAGATTCATATCTCGGAGAGAGCTTATCCAAAACTTCTGAAATTTTTTCTGTAAGTTAGTCTCATTGAGACCTTCATGCTTACAAAGTTTCGGGTCCAAATTCGAAAATATGATTTTGTTGGGAAAGCGAGTCCTGGAGAAAAAATTCACTGAAAAATCAAATATCTCTATCCAGGTAAGCCATCAGCAGCTCATATTTTAAATGCGTTAGTTTCTCAGTGAACGTGATCATTTGCACCCCACCCGGTCGTCCATCTCGCTTGACAGTACAAACAGGTCCATTGTGGAAGAATAACAATTGGAAGCATGAAAATAATGTAAATACTTTCGAATTGTTTTAAAATATGTTTCTTCAATTCCATAGCGTCTTTATAGGCATAAAATACTTGACAAATAGAGTAACTGCAAAGAAAACGAGCATACAAACTTACGTATATAGTTTTCCTTTCTTTCCACTGTGAAAGAATTTTGAATGCTCAAGTTAGAGCTGGAATTCTAAATTTAGGTGTACATGCCGAAAAGATACATCAATTTTGTGATCTTCATAGTTTTTAAAAGACATGACTAAGTTTGTTGATAATTTAGGTACAAAATACTAATATCAGTTCAACAACAGGCATCCCACTCAACATAGGAGAAGATCCCGCTTCAACATCGAACATGGGAATGCAAAACGAACAAAACAACTTTGTGGTAATTTGTTTTTATAGATTTTAATTCAATTTTTCTAATTCAAAACTATATTCAAAGATTAACGTTGAACCATCTTCAGCTACTCAACACGTAGTTAATACAACTAGTATAGCTTCCATTGCTGCTGTGGAAGAAAGTTTAATGAGTGTGATTACATTATTCATTGTGATCACTTCAACCGTTGCTGCCATTTGCATGGTCGCTGGAAGTATTACGGTATCGAGTAAGCTCGCCTAGAATTTTTGTTCCTTTCTTTCAAACTGAAACCACTAAATAAGCAGCACAGCATTTTTCTGAGTGAAATCGCAAAGACCTTCGAATAAAATATTGATTCATTTCAAAATGAAAGACAATAGTCTTATCAGAAATCTATGAAGGTTTGGCGTCGCTTTAAAGAATATCCAATATTAAAGAGTCGCACTGTCAAAGGCTAAGTGTATATTTCATTTTTTTTAACGCTAAGGACACATCGCTTAAAATCAGAGTGAGCCGTACAAAAAACTGAAGTTCTTGTTTTTTGATATGCATTAGCATCTTTTTGAATTCTTCAATTTCATGTACTATAATTAGCAATTCTTTTAGGATTCGGTCCTATAACGACAGTATGTCCGCATATAGCTTGTACAGCTTTTCCATCCGTTCTAAATCCTTCATCGAATTATCAGGTCGAACATCTCGATTTTAATTGTTCTCAATCTCTTATTAACATGACTATTATTCAAGTTGTGCAGCGTGGGCGCAATGAGACTAATGCTCAACAATATCAAACATTTTGGAATTCTTCAACGAATATGACATTTGTTCAAACTTTAACAGAAATAATTTACATATGGTATTCTTTGCCAGGGATGTACATTGTGGAAGCAAGTTTTCCTCATTTTGTTGAGGCACAATTTTATTACACTAGTGGTTCAACACGTGTCACAAGTAATGATACATGGCAAATATGGGCTCAATCTAGTTGTCGAGAGCTTATATACCTTTCTGGAACTTTCTAATCAAAGTATGAACCTAAAAGATTTTATTTCCTATAATATGTCACTTCTTTTTAATTTTAAGATCAACTTTTTTTCATTATGAACAATTAAGATGTTGTTCGCGTAAATATACATGTGTTATGAATAAATCCCTTCTACTAAACACATATATTACTACAGAACAATATATCAAGAAGATCAATATCATAGAAGTCCTGTCGGGCTTCAATACAAGACATAAAATGTACAAACATGAAGAGAGAAAAATTAGTATGAACTATATTAGTTATCGTATCATAGATCCACCATTTGGTTTACTTTTGGTAATCGAGTCCAAAATGAATGTTGTTCATAAAATTGAATAACAAGCGCAGGACATTTAGCATTAACAATACGTGCTGGAACAAGATCAGCTTCATCGGAGTGACGCCATTTTACTAATAACATAAGTTCACCAGCAGAATCCGTTGCACCTAGAACTTTTTCAGCTTCAAATCCTCGATCAAAACCACTCGATGTATTTGATGGTTGTAAGCCACTGATTCCACCTGAGGGACGTTTTTTCATAGTATTATTATTATTGACTTCTTCCTAAATTTATATAAATAATTAACGAATCTGTCTTTTTTTTGTAGTTTATAATACATTTCTACGTTTATTAGGTGAAAAGTTATTGATTGCAGATCGTGGTCCAGAGTTAAGCATTTTTTGTTGTTGCTGTTTGTGGGAAATTTCATATTCAGCTAGTAGTTCTGATTCTTGTTCACCTTCTACATTACTAGCTGAAAAGAACATAAATAAAATTATACAATCGAAGAGAGAAACATAAAGAATGAGCTATGTAAAGACTTATTATGTATGTATGTTCGCATTTGACTAGATAGTTCTGCCTATTTATATATCATCATTTTGAAGCACAACCCAATAATAGATACACTGACGTGAGAAATTCGATCTCTACAAACCAATATCGCAACACGAAAACAATGGTGAGAATTAGAAGAGAACCTTTATCTTCAGGTATGATTACTCGTATTCATACTAAACCATTTGCTATAAAGATGGATGATAAAGTGTTTGATTGATGTTTTTTTGATATATAAATATCCTCAGTAACTTACAAGGTTCCCATGTATTTTGACTGTCAGGATACCCTCGCCATTTGATGAGATATTCAAGACGATCATTTCGGTATCGCTTATCAACAATACGTTCAATTTCAAAACGGTCACCGTCACCAGTCATTTTTTATGATCTAAAAAACGGTGAATATTAAAGAATTGAACCAAAAACTACAAACAATGACATACATACTAGTACAGAAGTATTCTATTGGATAACTGAACACTAGCCAATAGGAAGAAAGCGGATGATAGAGGGATGTTAATATGGAACGAGAAAATATGTTCATTTTTCCTTTGCAAAGTGCAAGCCACATCAATTATGATTCAAAATGAAAAGTACGTGTGATGTACAATGCATAGTTATAGATTCAATCTACTCGAATTAATATTAAAAATCCTTTCCAGTAAACATTTCAGAGTGTTTTTCATAGTTGCTTGAAAAAGTATCAATTTTGGCGCTGAAAAGTAGATCGATACAAAAATGAATGTCAATCAGAAATCACAAGCAAATACATCTTCTACTCATAAGAATTCATTCGCACACAACGAAAGTCTTCTTTTATCTACAGTTCAAGTAAGTTTTTGACTTTTGTTAGCATTCATTCTTCATAGTGGATCTTCTCGTATAGTCTATGGAAAGTATTTCTGATAAATCATACAAAGCTTTACAAACGTTACGTAGTGCTCAAACTGGTGTTCGCTTATCAAATAAAACTTTTATTGATGCTGTCGAACAATATCTTAAACATTTACGAAATGAAACAAATAAAGTTAACTATTAAATTTTCAATTGTTTGAAGATAATTTCATCTATATTTGCAGCAGAATGCAAATGGAAATGATTCTACAAAAGATACGACCGATAACAGCGATAAGATTTCGATTGCTCCTTTTTCAAAAACTACAGGAACATCTCTTGAACGAACAGTAGAAGATATGTAAGTTTATTGGGATCTTATAGTAATCGAGTGTTCTCTCAATGAGTAGTCTAAACAAACGTACAACTTGAACGCGCATTACAAGAGGAGCGGATCCCGAGATCCGCGTTTTCCTCCTTGACTTCTGGCAACCATAGTGCTACATCAGAAACAAAATTAACGTAAACAATTTTGCACCACCCGTTAGTTTAACGGTTGTTGCGCCCGATTGAAACGCGTTTTATTGCATGAACCAACTTTTAACCAAATCCCAATTGCATCTGTAACATAGTCATGGGCCTAATGATTTCGCTTAGGGTAACATTTGAATTTGTGGAAAAAGTGCGGAAATCATTTGCTGAAGCTGATGCAGATAGCACAGGCTATTTGGATGTTAGTGAATTTACTGCATTTATGCGACGAACATATCCAGATATAACCGATCGGCAAGCACGCATTGTTTTCATGAAAGTATGAATTTGATTATTGAACATAAGATAAAATTATTTTGTTTTTTGGTCTATTAGATAGGTAGATGAAGTAGTGTATTGATATCAAAATAACCCATTAAATCTTGATCTAGATACGAATTGCGATGGTGAAGTTGATCTTTCAGAATATTTAACATATATTCTATTTGAACATCAAGAAAGAGAAATTATGTATGATATGTCGAAACCGATGCCATATCCAACTAGTCCAAAAGAAATGACTTCAAAGAATCGTTCACTCGATTTTTATATTAATGTAAAAGAATAAGATTTTTCATTTGAAAAACAATACATAAATTTCTTATTTTCGTTTCGCGGCAGTTTCAATTTTTCCCAGGCTTATCACGAGCTGGCAAAGCTCTCGATCAAATTGATTATACATATGGACGATATATATCAATAACACGTAATGGTATTGTATCACATTGGTCAATGTCATTAAAACTTATTCGAGAATCGAAAATCCAATCAATCGAACAAAGAAAACAGTAAGTTAAATAATATTCACCTTACAAGAGAGCTATCCAAAAGTGACACTCACCCTGTAAGCTTCTACACTTTTTCATGACTACATCGGGCTGGAGCCCACTGTTACAAAGAAATTCATTTCCGTCGACGATTTAAATTTGGATTTGTTCCTTGATATTTTTGTTCTTGTTTTCTAGAAGTCTTCCATTATGGATAACATGTAGTTGTGTTCTGCCGGACATGAACTATTTTGCTATCGCAACCACAGAACGTGATCTTATTTTTTACGATATCAATTCGCATACATATGCAGGCTCTATTATAATCAATTATTTCCCGGCTAGTCTTACAACGATTGATTATCGTATGAATATAAAAAATTCTTCTCAATCAACAATTTTTTGTGGCGACCTATTAGGAAATTTATTTATATTTCAAGCTAAAGATCAATATAGACCAATGTTTCATATATCCGATTTAGCACAAAATAATAATAACGAAACAGGATCAATGAGAAACTATTCATTTCCACGTATTGTTAATAATGAATATTTAACGGTATCAGTGACTTGTTTTTGTAATTTACATAATGATTGGATTGTTCAAGTGAAATGGATTGATGACCTCGATTTATTTGTTTCATGTGCGTTAACATCAAAACAAAGTTTATATATCGGAGATTTAAATAAAAAAATGGAAAAATATGCTGTAGCAAAGAAAGGTTTTGCTGCTTTTGATTATTGCAAGGTAGTTACTAAATTTAATATATAGATAATTGTCATTTAGTACTAAAGAAAAAAGTTTCATGTTTTAAACGCTGTATTTCCTGGTCCCTATTTTTGAACTCGGCATGTCGATAAGTTAGGATACAAACTGAGAACATGAATATATCACAGATTTTTAAAACAGGAAAATCATAGATAGTGAATACATACTACCTTGTTTATATGCTTTGTTTTTGATTACAAAGGCTCATCGAACAATAGTAACCGGTAGTTATGATGGTGTCATTCGTTTTTGGGATCCATTTGTTACCGAACGAGCTACAGCTACATTACGTGGACATAATTATTCTGTCACTCATTTAGTTGTTGACAATCGAGAAAATCATATAATTAGTATTGATAAAGGCAAAAGTAAGACTTTCATTTGCTCTTCACAATTTAAAAAACAAGTGAAACAATCTCTAATAATTCAGATATTATTATTTGGGATGTTCACACATTAAAAATAATTCAACGCATGTCACATACCATTCTCGATCTATCTGAACAAGATTTGACTGTATGTTGTTTAAATCCAACTCAACAACGTTTAATTATTGGCAATAAAAAACTTATATCATTATCACATATCAATGAATCCTATATTCGTCATGAACGAACATCACATCTGTATCCTATAACACAAATTTTATATAATCCATTATTCGATGTTATCATATCATGTGATGAAGGTTCAACTATAAATATATGGAATATTCTAACAGGTGAAAAAGTGATGCATATACTAAACGCACATGTTACAGAGATCGATGAATATATTGAACATGCTGTTGAAATCACAGCTATGTGTTTAGACGAAGCTAAACGTCGTTTAATAACAGGTGCACATGATGGTTCACTTGCATTGTGGAATTTTAATAATGGTCATAATCTCTATCGAGTTAATTCAAATTTAGCACACGCAAAAGAAATTACAGCATTACTACACGAAAATGAACGTTTATTTGTTGCTGGCTGGTCCAGACGAATTCGAGTATTTCATTTGGGCAAATCAGTTGTTCTTAGGCAAGGTTGGTATCAATATTTTTGAATTTTGAAGAAGATCTGAAATAAGTTATCATGGATATCTGAATATTTAAATGTCGACATCCATAAATATAAGATAATTGCTAAACTATTTTTAACTAGTGGATGAATTTCGATCATTGCATAACGATGATATTCTATCAATGAGTATGATGATGAATATTCTGGCTACTGGTAATAAAAATATTTCGTAATGATCTCTGCTTTTCTATGGTGAGTATTTAGCTAGCTATGACGGTGATATTATTTTATGGACGATTGAAACAGGAATGCCATTTATGAAATTAAATTCATTTGAAGATGTTAAGCCAAAACTGATATCGCTTTCATGGCTCTACAAACAGACGGTAATTCCATTAAGGAACGATTTTATTTGACAAATAAATTTAGACCAAAGGTGCTATTCAAGCTATTTTGCCTAAATACTTTTCGCGGCGAAGAAAGAAAAATTTTAAAAGGCATCCAATAGATAATACAGAACGGTTAGACACAGTTTTTCCTATGCAGACAAAGATAAAATAATTCATTTATCCATAGAATTCGTCAATCGTTATTAAATCGACTTCGAACAAATTATGAAACATCTGTTGAAAGTGTTTTGTAAGTTTACTATTTTAATTATTTTCGTATTTTGTTTTTGAGATATTTAAGAAAACCCGATTTTGACTATCAATTTAATCAATCAACAATATCATCTGATTATCATTTGGATCAATTACTTTTTCTGCATCGACGTGAAGTAAATCCTTCATCAGCTACTCTTATTACTGCGGGTAGCATGGGCTGGATTTGGTGGTGGTCTATACATGTAATCGGACGTCTAATTGCTGTTTTTAATGGAGCAAGAAAATCTCAAGGTTTGCCTATAGGATTTTGTTTTTCGCGTAAGAGAGAATGTTCATGTTTAGAGCATGTTCTTGCAATGTGTGTAAATGAAAAATGTAATATACTATTTACATGTAAGTTTCTACGAAAAGTTCCTAGAAAAAGAAAAAAAGATTTTTTAAATCTTAGCTGACACAGCTGGATATGTAGCCGTATGGTTTATTGGAGATTATGCTTGCAAATTGCCGGATTCAAAAGAAAAACAAATGAAATTAAACGAAGAAAAAAATCAGATATTAACACATTTTTCATCTTGTTTACATGCAAATAGTGTTGGTATGTAAAGAATACATTGGCTAGCTTAAACTTACACACTGTAGTATTCGAATAGTTTTGCATTAGCTTGATGTTTCTTTTTAATGGAGAACTTCGAGATTTTATTAGACAATATTTTCGCATTTTTCTCGTGGACACTCTGAGAGAGAAAAAAAGGCTGAATGATTAGGAATTACTCTTCAAAGATTTTCATCTCGGGGTTTTTTCTTTGAACAGCAATACAAGAAATGAAAAATCAAGCTGAACAGAAATTACGAGATCACATGGGAACACCAGCAATAGGCATCAATCAAGATCGAGCGACATTCTTAATGAATACTGTTATTTATCCACAGTTATTAGTTGCCTATCGTGCACATGTTCGACCGATAACATCGATTGGCTATGCAGATGATCGTGAAATTGTCATAACAAGTTCAATCGATTGTACCATACGATTATTTACTCTGGCGGGACGGTACATTGGTTATATGGGTCAACCAATATCTTGGGGACCATTGAGTTCAACCATCGTTTTAAAAGAGTAAATTGATTCTATTTCTTTTATGACTAACAGCTTTCTAGTGAAACTCGATGCTTGATAGCAGGCAATAATAATTGTACTCGAATGAACGAGATTTTTAATAAGTGAACTTATGTATCTAGTTTACCAAAGGAAATCCCTGAAGATATACGTCGAGTTGGTTCCGCTACAACACTTGAATTACTTCGTGGTGATGTTGGAAAGCGATGGAAATTATTAAAGCATACCATTGTTGCATGGACTTCATTGCCGATATTTCGATATTTTTGTAAGTAACTTTGTCTTAATATCATCGTTCAATAGATTTCAAAAATCTTCAGATCAAAGTAAAAATTCTGAAACTGAAAAATCTTCAGTTACGATACAAACACAATCAACTATTCATGACGAATCAACTAATTCATCAATAAATAATTTTAAAAAGGTAGATAACGAAGAAAAACAAGAATGGATAAAACGTCGTGAACGTCTCCGACAAATCATCAAGTACGATAGCGTAGATTTTATTCCAACGAAGAAAAAAATATCCGTTGAATCAATGCTTAAAACTCAACGAGAAAATTTCGGTATCACAATGCCGATACTTGGTCAATTCACTCGAAAATATATGCAGCATAGACCAATATCAAACTTCGATCATATACAAATTCATGGTGGAAAAGTGAAAAAAGACCTTAGTTATTGATGAGATAAATGAATTCATTATTTATTTGTCTAGGCAATTATTTATTCACTATTACCATTAGCATCATCGTCACTAGATGGCCTTCAAAAAATAGTATCGCAAACGGAAGAAATTCAAACTGATATTCTATTTGAATATGATGATAGGAAATTGTCAGGCACCGGAAAAAATGAATTTCTACAACAAAAACAATTGAATGGACATTCAATGACGCGCCCTAATGAAGTTTTTCTCAGTAGAGATCAGTCGCCAAAAAATTTAAAAAATCAATATATTGAAATATGTCCATCGATGAAAGTACAAACAAATACATTTCCATTCAAATGAAGATTTTGTTCATACTCTTGAAAAATAAATGCAGAAACTATTTTGATTCCATACTATGAAACATGATGCTACGTAACGTTTGATCCAATAATCGGATATTTTCATTACAATTAGTATGAGCTGTAACTTTGGATAAATGCCGATCTGACGCTGATTTCATAAGCTTCGTGTACATGTCAAATAACCATAAAAGCACAGTTATATCACAATTTAGTCAGTATGCTATCGAGTGAAGATCACCGTTCCGTACAAGTAGCAACAGTTCAAATGAATATTACACAAAACAAATAATCTTTAGTTCATTTCTATGCAGCATACGGAATTCTGAACTGAATAGATATAAGCAATAGTGGCAAGCAAATAGTTTTTAATCAAATTTTGAAATTAAAGCCATTGAAATAAAAAAAATCTGTTCTCCCAACAGAATAGCCCATCAATATTTATATACAGTTTTTGAGTAGGCAATTATTTTCTTCCAAAAGCAATATTTAATAGAAAAATTGATGATTTCTAAATTATTTGTTTTGCTATGCTCACAAGAACCCTTTTAATATCTAATTTTGCTTTGAACGTAACTTGTTTCGCTTCCGCTTATCGAAATGTAATTACTATATAGTATGCAAAATAACGAGGTATATAATTTAATCGCTTTTAATACAGAAAAGAATATTCTGACATATGTCATCTCCATTTTTCTTTCAAATTTTTTTCAATTAGCATCATAATATTTGATATATAATTCATTATCTGTTTTGCACAGTAAGAACATTCAAGATTAATTGAAGTAAATTCTTGCATTTTGTCGTCTAGTTTCATTCTACGTTAATTTGATGACATTCCTTCATTAAAAGTTTATCATTCACAGTAGTCCGAAATCCATTAGGCCTCAAATCGTCACGGAATTTTTGGTATTACTAGTCAGCGAACAGCACCTGTCAGAAATCAAACAGATATTTTATTCATGAAATAATCAATTCTGAAAATGCCAAGTCAATGTCACCAATGATGTGAGAACCTTATTTGTTTAATTTAGCATAAAAACGTTTTTCAAAAAGATATTAGTTTCTACGTGATGATTTTTACGCTAAAATTTTGATAAAATTACTACAATCGAATAAGAACTTACTGAACTGTTTTAGCATCGAGAAAATGTTAATACATTACGCGTGTTCCTTTTCTACTCACAAAGTTTAGCGTCAATTACGATTTCTAAATTAAAAAAAGAATCTTCTTAAGTCCTAGTACATTGTACTTACCAGACAAGTCGTAAAAATGCAGCGTACTTTTATTCTACTCCAGTTTAATATTAATAGAATATTTTAATTCTCAGTAAGCTTCGTCATTTTTTTACATTAAATATTGATAAAGAGTAATACTATTAGTATATCTATAAGTAAACATCATGCGTCATTAAGATTGGCCTTGACTTACGAGGGAACGTTTTCAACTGTGAAATTGTTTTTGAGTCTGAACTCTGTGCATAGGGTAGACCCCAGTGAAATATGGAAAACCTCAAAATGGCAAGTGCCCATAGCCCTTCTGTCCAGAGTTATAGACATTTTAGTGGTATTTTAGTCTATGGCATGGTATATACCAACAAATTGAATGACGGTATTTCAACCTGAGATTTTGCCCATAGATAGATCTATTTGTAGGTAGAATGCCCTGCAAATTTCACCTCAGAAGAATGTTTTCTTCTGGAGATAAATATTCAAGTCCCAAAACACAAAAAAAATTAGCACCTTTCGTAGGATATGACTGTGTTTTGGGACTCGAATATTTATCTCTAGAAGAAACAATTCTTGAGGGTGAATTTTGCAGGGCATTCTACCTACAAATAGATCTATCTATGGGCACTTGTCATTTTGAGGTTTTCCATATCTCACTGGGGTCTGCCCTATGCACAGAGTTCGGATTCAAAAACGATTTCACAGTTGAAAACGTTCTCTCGTTAGATAAAAACGTGAGAAAATGTTAGGCATTCAATAGGTAAATGTGTTGAGATGAAAAACATATGATGTAACATTGAAATTTTAACCTGCATACTTGTTGTTACCGATAATGATTTCTAAATTCTAAATCACATTCAATAATCTATAATTATCGCTAAATTCCAACAGAGCACACGACATATGTTGCTGATCACAGTATAGTATGGGGAGTTTTATTAATGATCGCTACAGAAATTTTTGAAATGAACACGACTAGCAGTTGATTCATTTCATTAAGACAACATTTCTTTAGCACGGTATCGAGAATCAACACGTCAATAATTAATTACCATAAGAGACTGTAAAACTGACAAAGAATCTAAAATACGGCTGTCGTACAAAGTCAGTGTCATCCACTAATGAAAAATATATATATATATAGATTTCTTATAGGAATTCTTGGGATAAATTTTTATCATTGAACTTAACAAAAAAAAACATGGGCCCATTTAAAAATAATTCATAGTGCATTTTCATCGATCAGATAGTGATTGGTATTCTTGTTAAATGTATTGCGTTCTCATGATGTTGGATATTTTATTAATGTAAAACAACAATAAAGAAATAATTAGATTTAACTAAAGAAAATATTTGACATATAAATTATAGCTGTGTTTAGATAAAAGAAACATTTGGTGACTAACAAAGAAACTTCTCTATAATTAAACTAGCGTTTATCGTGGCATTGTATTCAGATCAAAGATCGCATGAAAAAAATAGAAGCCTAAATATCTTTCAATGTGTGGTCTTTTCCTCTTCAGCTATGAATCAGCTGGTATTTGTTTTTTTGACCCTGTGGATTTCTATGCCGAGCAAAATCACATAATGTAATTTTGAGCTGAAATTTTGCCTGCGGTCACAAGAATTTTTTGTTTCATTCGATTACGCTAAAATGCTTAATATAAATGAATACACTCACTACCAGACATTGCACTTTGACCAAGTCTCGCATATTGATGTAAGCAATCGATAAAGTAAGATTCTCATATTTTGTGGCGAGATTTAATGATGGTATAAATAACAACTTGATACATCTACGGACAATGTTGCAGTTTGTACAATGATATATTTTGGTGTTCATCTGGTGAATGTCCAAAGTATTATAACATTGTTATAGAAATTGAGACAAAGAAACACGTAAGTATTCGAACATCTCTGTTGATTGTGTTATCCTGGTTGAAGATGAAGATGCGTGCATGAGGCTACATCATAAACTTTTCACCTCGAAGAATTACATCGAACATGCGACGAAATGAGCATATTACAAACGGAGGAAGTACTTTTGTTCTCGTCTAATAAAAATGGCATCAATATTGACAATTATTCGCAATATTTTTACAAATATGAGACGATTAATATCAACTTATAATAATACTTGTATTATATTTTCTTTTTATTGAGATCAATCTCCGTACCATCGCAATCAACAGATATGGCTTAACATTCTATATTGTATTTTTATCCTTTGAAAATAAATACAATATTCATTTTGTGCGTAAGTATAATTTTAAAAATCCTATAGTTATTACTTTTTGCTCAAGTTATTAGCAACTATCATTTCATTGATGAGTGCCATCGAGAAAAGATCATGATATTTTTCTAGGCATGCAGGAAAAGAAAAGAAGATCTATGTAGTTGATTTCACATATGATAAACGTCAATACATAACATTAATAAAAGACAACATGGAATGACAAACTTTCTACCATAGCTGCCATACGTAGATTAAATTCCTAAGAAAATTCCCAAGTAATCCATATCGTGATTCATTATAAAAAAAGTTCCAATAAGCTGCCTAGAATTCTTTACGCATAATGAACACCGTCATTCAATTATCAGTTTAATTAAGTATTGTAGGCACAGTGACGCTTTAGCTAAAAAAAGCCCGTCAGCATAATCTAATTAAATTTATGAATAGCCAATGGCCAAACGATTACAATGCAGTGACATAAAAATTTCTTCATTTTTCACAGTGTACCAACTTTTTCGTAGAAAACATCTTTTTCAATATATTCCCAATAAAATAATTATAATCTATACTCATACTTTCATGCATGACACGCCAGGATCATTATATTGACAAAAGATTTATAGGCAAGATTTCAACTCAAATTCATCGTGAAGAATAGCAATCCTTGGTGAACTGATCGAAAATAATCTAATATGATGCAGATGAATTTTGTTTTTTGAAACTTCGGTAAGACTTCATATATAAAGTTTAGAAGCCAATAAAAAATATAGTTTTATTATTATATTTTTCCTTTAAAATCGAGACTAGAAGAATGCATTGCTGTCATCATATCATATTATCTTGACGTTACAATGTGTATTAGTACCAAAAACTAATCTATATCTTTATAAAAAAAAGGCATATGGAGTGCTGTTAATTAATAAATTAAAAACGAAGCTATATTTTTATTGCTCGTGATTATATTTAAATCTAGTTGTGCCAGGCAATGAAAATTTACATTCGACTATTTGCTTAGAAACAATCGAATAGAATTCTTCTTCTTCTTCTTCAAAAAAAAAAGAATAATTAAATGCAAATCCCCCCGCTTTGTACCTATTCAATGAAATACAATATTCTCAAACGGCATTTTTGCCATGCATCTCATAAAACTAGAATGGCACGAACTTTTTAAAGTTTTCCCTATATTTTCATAACTTATTAAGACTTAAAAGGTGAGTAAATAAAATATGTTATATAAAGAAAGCCGTAGTGTTCATATTTGATGCCTGTCGGGCGCTTGAAAAAAATGAATAATAGAAAAAAAGAGAAAAAAAACACGACGAAAAAATCTTCTCGCACTATAGATACCGACCGAGTCTATTTTCATTGAAACATTAGTTGAGAATTATGGTTTACAATGAAACAAATGCATCACTATGGCCGTGTGCTCATTCGCTACATTATATCTCATGGACTGTACCATGTACCGTATGTCGGTTAGGTGGCACATTAATTTTATTAATATCAATCGTTTGTTTTTCATTCAACATACGATTTTTATTTTCTCACCGATGCAAAAATAGTCTTGCTGTCTCGTTATTCCTAGCATCACTTTTAGTGATAACAATAAGTGTACCAGGTGTTATTGTACAATTATTTACATGCCACCGCCACTGTTTAAAAATCTATTGTCGTATTGAAGGTTTCTGTTCGTATTTATCCGGTTGTGTATGCATGTTAGTATTTATGTCATTATCAATTCATCGATATTTATCATTATGTTCATGCAAAAACTCATTATCGTATGGAGTTTCAACATGTTTCTCTTGGTCGCTGAGTCTGGCGTTTACATTTCCATTAGTATTTGATTATTTCAATTCTTATATGCCTGAAGGCCTTGGATTCCATTGCAGTATCAATTGGCAAGATTCATCGAGTATAGGACGCGCCTATATTCTTTCATCGTTTATTTTCATGTATTTTATTCCGCTGACAATTCTTGTCTTTGTCAATGTTCAAGCTCACTTAATTGTTCGACGCATCTATACAAAGGAGAACTTACATTCAACATTCATAAATTACATGCATCAAAAAAATGCAACTAGAAAAAGTCGGCAAGAAGTTGATTATAAAAATACTCTTGTTCATAAATATTGTGTGAGAGTCGCTACTGATCGAAAACGATTTCGGACTGATTATCGATTTCTACGTGCTATTATATTTCTGGTCAGCAGCTACCTTATAGCATGGACACCCTATTCAGTAATTGCAGTGTTACAATTATTGAATATAGGATTCATATTTGACCATGCATTTTTAATAACTTTAAGCGCTTTTATTGCCAAGTTATCAGTTATTTTATCACCGCTTGTCTATTTAAGTATTATGAATAATAAGCTTTTTAAAAGAATTTTATTCAAATAAAATGTGGAAGCAGAAACAATAGAAATGTGTGTCGTGGTTTCCTGAATATTTTTCTTTGAAATAACCAGGGAAAACGATGAAACATTTTTCGATGCTCGTGAGTTATTATGCAATGTGTTTATTTTTCTGAATCAAATACAAATCAGAACGCCTATTACTTCGTTGCTATCACTGGAAGAAGAAAACCTAACGGAGTTATAAAGTCTACTAGACACAATATGGAATCTCTGAACTTTGGTCGACAGTAAAAATGTCGACCGTAAAAATGTCGACAGTAAGATGTCGAAAAAACGAAAAAGTAAAAATATCGAAAACTGAGTAGGTATTCATGAAAAATGTCGTGTTCAGAATTGATTCATTATTAAAAGAGGTTGTCCCTTATTCGAAGTAATGAAATTTAAATCACTGTTGATGTTGCGTGCCGATTCCGTGGCGGCTTCCATATGTATATTTATCACTCGAATAATGAATAATTGAAGAATAATTGTCTTATTCTTTTCTATTACATTGTACTAAGTGACCAATGTCTGATAGACCAATGATAGATCTAAACGAACATAAGTCGCCATCCATCCTACAAGTAGTGACGGATCCAGAAAATCTGTTAGGGGGTAGCGCTCCTGCCCAAAAAACGGTTTTTCAAGTCTAGTTGAGACAGAACGACTATTTTCTGTTTCATATCTACTGGAGAAAATCGAAAAAGTTTCTTAAGGGGGTGGCGATAGCCAGGTAGCCTAACTGGTAGATCCGCCACTGCCTACAATAATAACATATTCATCGAATATCTTTTAAAACACTCCTTCTTTTAGATTTTTTAATTTTATTTTTATAAATTTCTTTCGACATTTTGCACTTTCGCTATTTTTAACTGTCGACATTTTTACTTTCGACATTTTTAGCTGTCGACATTTTTACTTTCGACATTTTACTGTCGACATTTTTACTGTCGACCAAAGTTGAGTTTACCCTTTTTTCTGGGTTTTTGAGTTCGCTACCTGGCAGCACTTGTTAAAATGTTAAACTGGAAACATTAATACACATTTATATAAAAAAATGCATTTTCTAAAATCTCGCTAGGGGGGGGCTCAACAATTGTTAGGAGGGGGGCTGAGCCCCCCTAGCCCCCTGGCTCCGCCACTGCTATAAACGTTACTAATGGATATCGCAGTAATGTGAATCAATACACAACATCTGTAAATGTAACCTCTCATTTTCTCTGTATGCGTAAGAATCTATTTTTCCCGCGTCCATAAATACTAGCAGCGTTCGCATAAGGTTCAGATTTTCGATACGTCTGTTTAAGTCGAGATTGTCCCTGAAACTAGATGATTTCAAAAACTGAGTATACACGCTATCGAAGAAAAAGACTCTACCTTCAACACCTTATATTTCGAGAATAACTTCTTATTCTATTTTTCCAGTAAATAAATTCAAAAGACGAATACCTCTGAATCTTCTGGGATATTTTGTTTTGCAATTGATCCATACCGTTTTTGATTTGGATTTGTCGACGGACATGAAAAATCAAAACTACTTCTAAAACTATATTCATCATGGATTCCAACATAAGTATTCTTTCAAGAAAGACGAGAATAAAAAACTATTTACTTATTTTCTAAAAGTGAAAGCAACAACGGAAGGGCTCCATTCAAACGAATTTTTCTTCGATCATCTTCATTATCAGCACAACTTGTTAAACACCAAATGGCATGATCAAGAACTTTAACATTATTATGGCTCAAACACCTGTAAATAGAAATAAATATTCAAAATAAAAAACGTTCGATAAAAACTAATTTCTATACCCTGTGAATGTATCGATAAAATCATTTGGTATACGAGGAATATATTGGCGGGCCTCTGGATGTGACAGAAAACTTGCCATCAGCTGTAAAGATAGTCTAATCATATCAAAAACAATTTCAATTCTCTATTACAAATAATATCTATAATTAACATACTGTTTTGTCTCGAGATCTTTATATTCAAGTAGATGAAGTAGAGTTTCTATTGTTTCTGATTTTAGAAATTCTGTTACATAAAATTCTCTTCAGTAAAAAAATAAAAATAAAAGTGAAAACCAACAATAAGGTTTTTGTTTTTACTTTTTATCAATCATATGTAACAATAATCTTAATGTTTCATGTAATAACGGAAAATCTCGATTGTTATTTAATAAATGTGTAATTGACTCGATTATGTTACTTTCTATTAAAAATTCTCGTTCCATGTGATTTGGTGTATCTTTTAAAGCTTTTGTAAGAATATCTAATGAAAACAAATTATATTAAACATACCTAAAAAGCAAAAGAAAAAAAAAGAAGACTTACTAAGCACATCTCCTAAAGCTTTAGATGCTACAAATGACGATTCGTTATTGCTATCACATAAATCTGGTGAAAGATTATGAATATAGAAATCCATTTGCTAGAATAAAACCAATCATTTTAATCGAAAAAGAAAGTTTATTCAGAAAAATTAAAATACTTTTTTCAAGCCAACTAGCCCATTTTCTTGAACGAAAACTAGTAAATACTCAGGATCACGTAACAACACTCGTAAACAATAAAATACAGACAACGAGACAAGAGTGTGTGGGCTAAAAATTATAAAATAGAATTATTCGAATTTTCTTTTCATTCAAAATAATTTTATTCTTTCTACAAGTCATCAACAATGGAACACTTACGATGCTAGTAACTTCTTCTTCATTAGAAAACGTAAAATCTAGAATATTCACAAATCAGAAGCAACCGTAAAGCATTTTTATTTCATGTGATAACATACATTTAAGAAATACTTGTGTTCACTAGAACTTGAAAATTTCCCTCTATGACCATACTTTGCTCTAAAAACAAATCAAAAGTGTTATAGTAATAATCATAATATAAAATCTAATGAAGAAAATAACGAACTTGAAATGTTCCAATGCTTTTTCTTCTGCTTCTTGATCATTCGCTTTATCACTACGTTCCAATTCATTGAAAATTTTACTTGCAATATTGCGTTCCATTGTACTAAAATATAATTATATAATGAATGAATACTAATAGAACTTTTATGTTGTTCTATTGTACTTACTCTCGTTTAGTTCTTTCGTTGATTGCCATGTATTTTTACATCAATAGAAATAATGATAGATGATTTATATTGATTTTTGTTCAACTAAAAGGTTAGAAAAAATATTTCTATTTTTAACGAAGTTAATTTAATATTGTGATGTTGCAAATTCTTTCTTGTGATAAAATGTGAATAGAGTATAACGGTAAAAGACAAACATATATCATTGAAATGCGAAAAAGAAAAGAATAGACGTGTGAGTCACCCATAGAATATTCCAATTTAAAAAAAATGCTCTTTTATTTTTATTGTCAGAAACTCATGAATATCAAGATTCTTCAACTCAATTCTTTCTTTTTTTCTCTATCATGCAATAACCATTTTCTCTTAGGACTTTTTTTTATTTCATCATCATTTAAACTAAACAAAAGAGAAAAAAAAATACACGTATAAAATATGATCTCAGTTGTGATCGACAATGCCAGGTGTTTATTTACACCTATTCGTTCTGTGGTGCTGCGTTCATTTAAATTGTCTGAAACAATCATCTGTTAGCGACATCTATTTATAACAGAAAAGACCGATAAAATATTTCTCTAATTAGTACTAAATTTAAGTTATAAAAAAATTGAATTCTTTCAATAAAAATTATTGTTTATTTCTTTTTGAATATTTATCGAAGATAGAGGTCATTCATTATTTGAATGGCAAATCTAAACAAAGGGTATCGTTCATTGTCTGTCAGAAAGAACTGTCATATTTGTTTATTTCTTTCGACTAATCAATTGAACGTTGATAAGACAATAGAGATTGGAAATATTGAAAAAAACGTATTTATTATTTTTACTATAGATTTCTTTAATGTATTAGTGTGTGTGGTGTGTGTGTGTGTACCCAACTAGTCACCGAACTAATTATTTCTCTTCCAATCATTATTTATTTTTTATTTATCTATTAATTATTATTTAAAATGGATCAAGAGCGTGCAATGATGATTAATTTGTCTTATCAAAAATTAATAATGCCAACATTCAGCGTTCGGCAACGACGCACTGAAAATCCATTACGAGAACGGTTACTCGTTCGAAAATTTATCACACAATTAGAAACTTAGTAAGTTTGAATATCGTAAAACTACAATTGAGTTAATTCAATTTCGATTTCAGTTATTTCTATCAACAACAAGCACAATGGCAATATTATAAAGAACAAGAGACAATGACATTAAACAATAGTCAAAGTAATCAACAAGATGAACAAATGAGTCAGATGGATGTCGATCGAGTAGGTTATTGTATTTCATCATTTATCAACTGTTAAACTTGTTTGCATTTAAGGAGATTGATGAACAAAACGAAAGTGAAGATGAAACATCAAGTGTAATAGATACATCCGTTAGTGACGATGAAGGTGATTCAGTTTGTTCTATTGTTATGTCAGCAACTGATGATAATAACAATTCAGTTTCACTTGATGATACATCTGATCTGATGAAAAATTATGCACTGATGCTTGAAGTACCAACAACATTAACACCATCGAATGGTCAACTATAGAAAAAAAAGAACAACACAGTATTATCTTTTGTTTATCGATTCGCTGTGCTACGTGACCTTCTATATTTTTGTCAGACAAAATATATTTGTTTCCTTTTGTTTTTAGTCATGTCTCCTTCTCTAAAAAAATGAAAATGTCAGATGCTCTTCTGAACGAATGATTCTCTTCATTAAATGCTAATTTTCTTTCTCAATAATCCTATTTTTTTCTCTTCTTCTTGTGCGTATCAGATCTCACACTTATTAGAATTTGTGTGAAATTTCTCCACTGCGGAGTCTGTGCCTTTCTCATCTTTTTTTCTTTTCGTTTATTTGCAATAACTTGTGTTTTTTTTGCTTGTTGTAACTCAAAATTATCTTGGCCTATCTTTATTTCTTTTTTTTTTGATAAGAAAATACTAAAATTCCTATGTTTGTCAAATATGATACACATAACAGACTGAAATAAAATTCCAGAAATAGATTTATTGCATATGAAAAGTTTGCTTTATTAATTGTTAATAGACTGGACATGATGTTTTTTTCCTTTGTAGTCATCAATAAATCAGAGGAAAAGTCAAGTAGGTGAAAGAGAAAAGAAAGATTTCTTCAAGTTTTTTTTCTGAAAACTATTTGCTTTTTTTCCATTTTGTTGCGACAACAGTAAATCATAATTGTATATTAACTTTTGATGACAATAGTAATAGACGAAGGAGAATGATTCTGTTTTCGTTCTGCTACATTTAAGGTAACATTACTAGTAACAGACATTTATTTTGCCAAACAACTGTTAGTTCATATTTTGTAATGGCATCGAAAACGGCCTTTACAAGTTCAATGTCATCATCAGATGTACGTCGACATCATCACCATCATCAATCCCAAATATCTAACATATCACATTCACTTAGTCAAAGTTTTTCTCTCGGCGACGCCTCAAATCTTACTGAATCTTTTATTCTATCAACAGTGCCAACTAATCCATTGATAACGATCGTGTATACAAATTCATCATTATTACAAGGTACGTAACAATAATAGTAATAGTTAGAATTCAACATGTTGATGTGTATACTCGCTTCCAAGCAGCAAATCCACTTACTGGAATAGTTGCTACAGTATAAGAGAGGAGAGCACAGTATTGAAGTGCGCACATTTCTCATGACATGGAAGGCAGGCGTATAAGAGAGAAAGAGAGAGAGAGTAGAGTGAGAAAGAAAATGATTTTCAAACAACATATAACAGAACAATTTAGTAGAGTGTGTGTGTGTGTGTGTGTGAAGAGAAGAGAGAGTCCTCATTGTGATTGAGCAACAAAGAGACAAGTGAACATAACAACAATTATAATAGTCGATATGGAATCATCAAGACGTAATTCAACAGTTAGCTCTGTTGGTGGCATACGAACAGCAGACGCAAGAAAGCAAATTATCTCAGGACCTTGTACATTCATTCGGATCGTACATAGTGGTAGGAAATGAAAAGGCTTACTTATCAAACAAACTTTTTATTTGATTGTTTATATTGAAGCAATAATAAATAGATCTATTTTCTTTATAAATAGAAAATCAACAATTACTTCTCAATAGTTTTGCATCTTGTCGTCGTCTGCTTGATCATATGAAAGTCGTTGTTGGCATGAGCCAAGATGGTAATCAAACAAATTTTTGTTTCAAACGAAAATTGACTGTTTTTGTTCTATTTTATTGAAAGAAACACTCGATCTCATGGATAATGAAGGAAAGTTAAAAGAACTCAGTATGCATTTTGATGATTATGCTACACAATTTCTTACTGCAAGAAGTACTTATTACGTGCTAAAAATTGAAGGTAAACAGAGTCATTTTTTTATGTGAATCTATCTTGCATGTAAAAAAATCGACTTTAGTCGATATTGCAAGTGGAGAAAAGCGTTATATGCCTAGCTTTAATCTCGATCAAATTGATCAAAAATTGGGAACAATATTAACAAGTAATTGGAATTTGATAATAATTAAAACCAACAAACTATTGATTTTAGATTCATTAAATACTTTGAATAAATCTGTTAAAAATCCAAAACGTATTGCTGGACCATCACGACAGAATACAAGTGTTCCAGCATCATCTAATACACCTCAAGCGAAAGCTAAACGAGCGTCAAATCGTAAACAGAACTAGGCAAAATTATTCTATTTTTCTAAAATTCGTTTCCTCGAACAGTTTCTTTTTTTTTACAGTATATGATTTGAGTTTCTTTTTATACTTGTTAATATTTGTATTAATTTTCTTTTCATAATATTTGTTTTCTTTAATTGATCAATACTCTGGTGAATCTATTTCGAAAAGAAAATGCCGACGGAAAACTTCTGCTTTTGTTTGACTTATAGAGATTCAAACTACTTAGCAGTGTCGGAGTAATCTACTTTCATGTAGAATTACATTAAAGATTTGATTAAGAAAGATATAACCATTCGACAAAGTAAATGTTTAAAGAAAATTATCCTTGAATATAGGTCAAGTCTACGAATGTTTCAAAATGAGTTGCATCTCTTGTATGTCTTCTTTTGTTAATGACGAACATAAATATGAACCATGATATAATCACGATGAGGGTATTCGCTTTTTTTGTATAGACTCGAAGTTATTGAGTTGAACAAATGAATTTTACGGGTTTCGTTCATTCAAAATAATTAGAAATCGAAAAATTTCGAAAGTAACAATAAAACTACTTACATGGTAGTTTCATTTTGTCTTGAGATTTTCTCTTGTGAAAGAAGCAGAAATATTTTGTTTTCGCCTGACCGGCTGTAAACATAATTATCTTACCCGATGTTATTATTTCTAATAACTAGAAAGGTAAATGAACTTTTCTTATCGATTCTTATGCCATTCTTCAGCACAAACGATGTTTTAATGAACAGAAAAAAAAATCGTTTCTTTTCAGTCGAAACATTTATTGACGTCTCTTTTACTGTAAGATTTGCTGAGAAAAGCTTATCAAAAGAAACAATTTGTTTTACTTTTCTTTTACGTGAACATGGAAGTATTTATGCCTACGATATGAATATTGTTGTGGAACTTAAAAGAAACTTTCGTCGTCAATTTATATGAACTCTATTCTTTAAAAATACAAATTGATTTCTAGATTATTGAAGATATATTCTTCATTTCATTTTACTCTCCCAAAGACGTTTGTTAAAAATAGCATTTTTTTTTCTTACGCTAAAGAAAGTATTTACTACTCATAGAAATAACTGACTTGAGTTCAAGAACCTTTAACTATCCATTCACAAGTACGTCATTCAGAGTTTAGTTGAGACAAAACAAACACTTGCTTCTAATTGCTAGGCGATATCTTGATGAATTCTCTCTATACATGCATAGCAGTTTAAACTTTCTGTGAAAAGTTTTTACTAAAAATGATGTCTTATCATAGTATTTCTTGGCGAACAGTGAAGTCGAAGGAATTTCAAGCAAAAAGAACCATTGAATGATGAAAGTGAGATACAACCGGAATACTGATTATGTTGCATGCAATCTATGTCATGTAATTCATTTGTTTTTGAAAGAGATTTTTCGCCAACAAATTCAGTTGTCAATGGAAACAGTTCTTTCAGAAGATCTAGTGATTGTTAGTAATATTAGATTTCTTCGTTCGATCGAGAATAGCAAAGGAAAATATTGATTGTTCTCGAGTTATATATTTTTGTGTTGTTGTGTGTTTTCTCCGCTGTTTAAGCAAATGTGATTAATAAATATAAACATCTTGTAAAGACTCGACAGCACAGCGAAGAAAAGAATGAAAGTCAGACCCGGAAAAATTCAGTTCGTTTCGGTTTCTGTTATGAATATTCATCAATCTATCCCGAAAAATAAATATCCTATTTTAATCTAGTTCAACAATGTTTTGCTTTTCGTCGTTTTACGATAGGAGATTTAATTAAACACTGAATATATCAGTGGGAATACTACAACAAAAATTACTATTAGTAGAATTTGTTACAAATACAGAGCAGTGATTTTATTATTAACGATTTGCGTTTGTAAGTGAAATTTCATTTCTTTTTCTGCTGAAATTTATCATGAACAAATGAATATTTGGATTAAAGTACCGTTCTATTTGTAGACGACAGTAAGACTTCGTCAAAAAGAATTAAATCAAGGACGAAACCGACAGATTTCATGCTAACATAGAGAAGTTGAAAGGTGATGAACTTGAATAAAATACATTCATTTTATTTTCTTACAAAAACTAATTTTAATACACCAATCTACTAAATTGGTTTGATTTAGTATTGCAATATTTCGATTAAAATTCTACAATAAACCGATCACCACTGATAGATTATGAATTGAAGAAAACTTTCGTCCACAACAAATTTCAATAGAGTTGGTTTTCGACTATAGCCAAGTTGCTCAAGGTACAATAAATTTTCTCTGTAACTAATAAAAACGTAAATTCAATGGGAGAAACGACGATATTTTAAAATTTTCAGAAATCAGTCCAGTCAGTATTTTTAAATTACGATATTATAATGTCTGTTATTTGATGTAGCTCTGTTGTAAAAAGAAGTTTTTGAAAAAATGCATCATTATTATTTGTGTGATCAAATTCATTCTATTGATATCGAAATAAAACATATAGAACTTTATGAAATTCGACAAATACTGAAGAACACTACTAGCACATTTATTATGTATAAATTACATATATTTGTACGCTGTACATGAAGCACTAATCTAAAACAATTATGTTAATACCACAATTTGTCGTGAAAAAAAAACGTATGACATTTGACGTTAAAATTTACGATTGACAACATACAACAAAAACGAGAAGGCGAAACATGTAAGTACATTATTTACAAGAGCAAAATTTGACGATCAATCCGAAGAATAAATCACTATGTGCAACAGTTCCTAAACATTTCTTCGCATTATTCCATGAGATAAAGAGATAAAACGCATTAAAAAGTATTGATCTAATTAATATAGAACATATAGTTTACGAGATCTTATATCTGTTCAGTTAAAGATTGTGTTTAACGCGTTCATTCGATCTCGAATTTCACTAAATGAAATACGATTTTTCGCTTCATAAGCCCAACATTGCTTGAGTATTAAATACATATCCATCGGGCATTCCGATGGTTGTGGATGAATCTTACCCTCTTCTTTGACATATTGCGGCAAATCATTGGCGTCGGATATACTAGGATATGGCATACTTGGATCATCAAGCATCAATTGTATCAATAGAATACCATATGACCAGACATCACTTTTTGATGAAAATCTTGCATAAATATCTGCTTGACTAAAAACGATTGGTTTTTCTGTCGCTCCTTTTTGCTTGGAATCAGGCAAACATTCCGGTGCGAGAAAACGAAATTGAAATCGATTTACTCCATTAGTTGTTTGTAATCGGCCGAGAGGATTTGTTCCTTCTTCTTTTTTAATTGCATGGCCAAAATCAGCAACACGTATAAAACCAAAGGAATTGATAAGAACATTACTGGCTGTTAGATCTCGATGAACGATATTTTTTTTTTCAAGATACATCATAGCATAAGAAATTTGAAATCCAACATTGGATATAAATCGCATTTTTGTTTTCATTAATCGAGTTTTTAATGGACAATACGATTCCAATGATTCTCCGCTGTTTTCAAATACTAAATAACTAAACTTATTATCAGAATATTGACCATAAAGTGTAACAATTGAAAAATGACATAAATCTTTGAGTAAAGAAAGTTCATGCCGAAAATACAAATTATCTTTAGTGAAACGTTTAATAAATATTTTAATATCATTTTGTTTATCCGATTTCCAAATAGCTGTAGATATACCTTGATTATGTGCACCACGCTTTCGAATTCTATTAAAATCAATATCTAAAAAATGTCTTTTATCTAAAAACCAATCTTCATCTTCTGGTGGAAGAATTAATTCATGTTGTAAAGGTGTAAATGCGCTAGTCTTGGAGTTGTTTTGTTGTTGATTGTATATATCTAATAGTTGTGATGTATTTTCATGCATCTTTTCTACAATACAAGGCAATCGATAATGTTGTATATAATATTTATAAATAGTTTCATCGACTCGTATTGATAAAATAATAAAATTATCTCGAGAAGACGCTTCGTTTGAATTATCATTGATTTTAATTAGTGAAATCACATCATCATTAGCTGTTGTATATCGTAAAATATATGTACCACATGGTCTTGGTAGCAAACTACGTATGGCATCAGGCGCAGAAATCTTTTGAATATATGGTGACATGAAAAAAAAGCATCGATCTGAAATTATAAATATTCATATATTTGGTATAGAGAAAACAATTAATTTCATTTGAGCAACGGGTTTATCTTTTTCTCAAAGCTTTTCTATTCGTTTTAGACATACTATATTGGTTAAGGTAAGAAAATGTGATTTCCTGCCTAGATGAAACGAACGTTTTGATCAATCGTTTCTGGAAAAGTATCGATTTTATAATAAAAGAATTAATACAGTATATTCGAAAGAAAACAAAAATATTTACTTCGATCATTCAATCAACATTTTTTACAAACTCTAAATAATGTTGAAAGAGTAGTAGGACATTTGCTATTCTATGCTTTATAATCACGCCCAAAGAGCAATTAGAGTTAATAGCTATATTGAATAGTAATACTAGAGAAAGACGTTTTGAATTGAATATTATAACATTTATTATCCTACCAATAATTCGTGATTTCAATTAAATCCTATTCTAGTTTTAATATGAAGCGTTTCTTGTCATAAAAAATTTTTCAGTACATCTGAACTAATACTTTCTCATCATATCAGATATTTTCTAGGTATTTCATATTAATATGATTAATACATCATGAGATGATACTTCTTTTCAGGAAAATATTGACTAATTCGATTTACATAAAAAAAAAATATATTCATTGATAAATGGGTTGTCAATGTAGCAATAGTAATTAAAAAGAATACTCACACTCAGAACATAAAATAGAAACTCTCAGTGAATAATCACGTACAATGAATATTTACTATTGAAAATCAATTCATCTTTATAAATAGAAATGGATTAATATCTAGAAATCTGCAATTCAATAAATAAAAAAGTTGAAATTGGTATCTATTGACTAAACGATGCGCGAAAAAAATAAAGAAAATGATTTATTTTATCTCATAGGCTTTCTGTTGGTGAACTGAAAATCTTAAAATTAAAATTTATATTATATGAACAATCCTACTGAGAGAAGGCCTAAGTTCTTCATTTTAAGACTTACACTGATTTTGAACTCCTTTGTAAAATTGAAAAAAGAATACATTTTAAATTAATTCTATCAAACAAGCAAAGCAAAAAAGTTCTCACTAGACAATATTCAAACGAAAGAATTATTTACAACGAGGAATCAATATAAATGAGAAAATAATGAGATAAACTATTAGAGTTAGACAAAAGAAAATCAAGGGTGATAAAAAAAATGATTATTACACTTAAAAGTAATGAACGAATTTTCAAGTGCAAATAGATACGATCCTACGCCCTGTATAAAAGTTTGAAGAAACTGCTGTTAAATAAGTACGTGAATGGAACAAACTATTTCTTCAGCTTTCGGTCGTCGACTATGACACAATGTTTAAGTATTGGTTGCTTCAAATGTTTTCTTCAAGGTCTAAATCTCTTAATGTCAATCGGATCTCTACATTTATAAGAGTGACCTCTGATCGAGTACTAATTACTTTGAAATATTATATTCATTGATGCATTAACACAGAAACATCAACACTGCTGTTAGTTGTACTCTATACCGTTGCATTTTGAAGGTTATGTTATTTGCATCGTGTGATGTAAATAAGAAGAAAAGAAATGTGCATGTGAAGAAAATACTAAACATGAAATGTGTATCAATTAGCAAAAATTTTTATCACAGATATTCTGGTCAATAGAAAGTTCTCATTAATTTCAATATGAAAGAATACTTTTCGCCATTCACAATCTTATGTTTAAACGATACAACAACAAATTATAAAAGTCAAGCTCAATGTTCTATGTTTCAATAATAGCTATATTGCAAATAGAAAATAGAAAATAATTGAGAAAAAATTCTACAGTATCTAAGGTTAGTTTTATCATAGTAAAAGAAAAATAGAATATATCACAATAAACTTACAACAAGTAAATTCTACCGTAGTCAAGACAACCATCCATCGTGCTAGAAAAAGTAACTTTGCACTTATTAATGCGTTTCAAAAGAAAAGCACGTTTGCTTAGCTTTTATTTGCATCGTTTAATTGACTTCGATGGTCATTCTATGATATGGCCATATGAGATATAACACCATAGATAAACTTTGGATTAATTTCGGTTTTCGGAATAAAACCATCGTTGAATGAACTTTTTGTGTCAGCCATTATAGCTAAAATGTTTTATATCATATACATTATCCATAGTAAATAAATTCAGAGTATCAATAATGCCAAGGTGTTTTGTTGATTTTGCTTCGTCAGTTTGCATTTTATTAATGAGCATTAGTCTTTCTTCTTTGTTTCGTATTTTTCCTCCCATTTTACGGTGAGAATAAATACTTGTTACTATTCTTACTGCTATTTTCTTCACTCTTCAAGGACAAGTAAAGCACAGAATAGATGAAAAGAAAAATAACCACATGATTCACCCATATCTAGTGCACAGTTTAGCGTTTAAGTTAATGTATAATCACAGTATCCCGATATAAGCTATTTATTTGTGTAAATAGAGTAGACGAACTAATCGAACTATTAAAAATCGATAATTGATATCGAATCTTTAAATCTTGAGGAAATAGTTTTAAAAATATACGTAAGATGAAAATATTTAACTTCTATTCACAGGTTCACAGATTAGTCATTAAAAAATGTGGGTTACTAAAACATAAAAGCGAAGTTTATCAACGCTAAAGCAGAAAAAAACCTATATCGCGCATAATAGATGAAGGGCTGTGAAAAATGTTTTTACTTGCATCAAACACATGTTCTTATCTGTTGCAAAATACAGTGCAAAAATACACAAACAATGAGATATTTGTAAGTATAATAAATGTCTACCTGGACGTATAATAATATAATTTATCCAGTTGCATATAACGAGGCGACGACAAATATAAAAGCACGTTATAAAAAGTAAAATGATGAATAATTACTATAGGTAATACTGAAGAACACACGCACGATTAATTTACTAGAATTTAGCTCAAATTTTATATACATCATTTTCTAGGAAGAAACTGTCAAGAAAGAAATAATGATAGATGTTGAGAAATAAACTGAATTCTCCTGTGAATAATAAAGAAATAAAACGTTATCTATGAGCACAGAACCATTTTCTCTATCAAACTTCATAAGAGTGATATTTTTATATTTGTACGGAGAAAGGTCAAAGTGCTTTCTGTCAAATGGCTACATAAAATAAAAGTACTGGTCATTTGTATGTGAAGAGCATCTCAAATATGAATATCTAACATTTTTTAAAGTTTAATGAGTACGTTTAATTTTTATATAAAATGGTCCTGCGTTAAAAATGAAGAGTTTAAAAATAGTTTTCAAATCGATACAATTATAGTCGTGGTTTTCATTCAAAGCATTAAAAACCATGTATACATCTCGCATAACATGTATTATCGTGAAATGATAGAAATAATATTTTAACTTTTAAAATATTTGCAAAAGTTGACTCTGTGACTTAATAGTCAGAGAGCTTTTATGCAAAACTCAGTGCTCAATATGTACAATCCTATCTTGAACTAATGCAATTGTGACCAACGGCAAGAGTAAAAACCACAATTTAATGCTCTTATATTGTGGTTTATTATCCGGTGAAAATTATTGCCTTATTTGCAGACTTACTTTAGATTTGGTTTTTATTTAACTTGAAATATTTTGTATGAAAATGTGTGTTCACCTTTGTGCTGTATAATGAATATATTTTTTAGTCAAAGTCGAACACTTTGAGATCATTTATATTTATTCTTAGTTCTCCAGGAAAATAAATTATCAGATATTAAAAATCTGTTTCTTTTTCTATTTATTGTGATATGCATTCATGAATTGCTTTCCTGTTTAGTTTTTGTTTGCATAGACTTCAGATTTCTGTAAAAAAGAAGTGCACTAGACAAAGATAAAATATCTGTCTACTTTGAAAGTACTGCTTCAAGTTTGAAATCTACGTAAAGTAGTATTTGGAATGTCGACCCTCGAAGTAGACGTATTTTCCAACCATATCCATAGTCTTTATCCATGCAAAACTCATGGGTGCAGTTATACTATGAAAATTACGTCGCCGATACTTGATTTTACTGTGATGATATTCCTAAAATTATATTTCATTTAATTGTTTTGAGTATTATTTTTAATTAATTAGTGTTACTCTACGGGTAGAAACTGATGTTCGACTAAGGCTTCTCTCAATAGTTTAGAATTCTTCGTTCAAAAATGAAAGCATCTATTCTCGTAGAAAAGTATTATTGAGGACTTTTCAATCAAGTAAATTATATTTCCATCCAGTAAGTAGTTGCTCGATTAGAAATTTTAGTGATATTTATTAGAGACCAGTGTATTTTTTTTTTCGATAAATAGAACTGAACTCTATCGCTATCTTATTTTAACAAATTTATCAACATTTTAATGCATTCTATATTACATCTATTCGTAGACAACACTATTGGACAGATAATATAGGAATTGAAGAATAAATAGTACTCTATTTAAAAGAAAGTAATAAAATAATTATTTTTTGTATCTAACCAATATTGAAGAAAGAACAAAAAAGTAAATATTGCTTTTAAATGGAATTGGATAGAAGTTTTATATTTACGAAAGAGAAAGGCCTCATTATGGCAATGACGAGTGACATATGAGCGTATGATCGCGGAGATACTTTATTGGACTCTTGGTAGCCGTCATAATTCTTATTATAAATATTCTTAGAATCTCTACTGGATCTTCGAGAATTCGAATAGAGTAAGCTGACTAGGCTATCACAGTAAGGTGAGTAACAAAAATGACGATAGCTTATGTACTCTAGTTAATGTTTCATTGTAAGAAAAGTCACTACAATGTACATTCTTTCTAGTTACGAAATATAATAGATCTTATACCGCTTTTTGCTTTAGTAAAAATCAAAATGAATCATTTTCTATCGCTATAGCTTTGTTAATGATACAGATCCAGCAGCGTTCAGACTTCCAAAAAAGGAAATTTTGGAAGTTTTGGAAATTTCAAGTACTTGTGTTCTAAATTGTTTGGTACTTCCCAAAATTATACAATTTCCGAAATTACAGAAGATTCCGAAATTTCTAAACTTTCAAATATTTTCAAAAAATTTTCATTCGCTTTGCTATGTAGTAATCGAGCTGATGGAAGCTTCGGAAATTTCTGTAGTTTCCTTTTTCGGAAATCTGAACATACCTCTACAGATCGGATAAATTCTAGCAGATTCTTAGCAATGAAGAAACATATATATTGTTCACACTCAAAAATAGATAAAACAATGTTTATCTAAGGAATCCATATTAGCATTTAAATACGTAGACAATCGAAGAGAACAGGTCTTTTAGACCGAAAATTTAAAAATGAAATAAAATAAAGTACTTTTTTTCTGACTAATATTAACTACTGTGATCTGGTTAAGTTTACAAAGAGTCGACTTATTTGAACTTCTGATGAGTAGTGTGACGCGTTAATTGTCAATAAAACAGTGGGCATCAACTAGAGGGCAGGTAGGTGTATGGTAATTATGTTTGTCATGTAAACAGGAGAGCGCGTGCGTGCCATTCTACAGTAATACTAACAATAGTGTTTATTAAGTGTTGAAGTATTGAGTTTATGATTACGCAAAAAATCTATTCTTCTATATAAAAACAAAATGTGGATGAAAAAGATGTTTCTAATGAGAATTACAATTAGGTTATCTTTCAAATACTAGATCAACAGAGATGATATCATCGATGCCGTTTCATTGCTTATACAATCTGTATTACATTCAGTCAAAGTTCAAGTTTGATCTATCTATGTAATGAGATTTCATTGAAATATGAGTCGTTATATACCATTCGTCTTCCTTTCAAAATAATTCAGCAAGTTATTTTTGAAATTTTGCCGTTGTTGATTTCAGTATCAAATTTTCCTCAGTGTATGATTCGAAGAAACGAGAATTTGGGATTCACGTCATAAATATAAAATATGGATCGGATAGGTTATTTATTTATGATCAGAAAGTATTTTGTTTTAAATAATTGTAAATCGCCTAAAACGAATACTACGTTAACAACGTTATTGATACACAAAGAACGGAACGAGAAAAAAATCTCATATATATATTTTGGATTTACATAAATCTATTTCAAACAAGATATATTCTGATCATAAATAAATAACTTATCCGATTTATATTTTATATTTATGACGTGAACCCCAAATCCTCGCTTCGTCGGATCATATACGATGAAGAAAATTTGATATTGAAATCAACAACTACGAAAGTTCAAAAATAACTTGCTGAATTATTTTGGCAGGGTGAAAAATGGTGTACAAAGACTCATGTATCGATGAAATCTCAATACATAGATAGATCGAACTTGAACTTTGACTGAATGTAATACAGATTGTATAAGCAATGAAGCAGTGCCAGTGATACTGTCTTAATTGATCTACCCTTTGAAATATAAGCAAAATAAAAACTGTTAACTTATTTGTGGATAGTTATGGTAACCACTGTACAGTGTTGATCTTAACATCTACAATGTACGCATTTTACTGGAAAGAAGTTGGTAAGAAAAAACGAATTTTATGTTTCTGAAAAGAGTATTATCGAACTTGATAGGTTTTAGATTTTTTACTTTTTGAGAGAATTTTGATTTATGATAAATAAAACATCGCACGTTGTCATCGGCAAAGCCTATTTTTTATTTATTTATGTTTTTCTAATTGGATAAATTTGAATCAATTTCCTTCACTATTTATTGTCGAATGAAATAAAACGAGTGATTTCTTTAATATAGCAGATATTTTCTTAGTATAGAATTATGGAGTTTCTACCAACGATATAAGTATTTAGAAATTTTAATGCCTTGCTAAGAACACTATTGAAAATCTTTCGTATTTTCTGTGACTCGTTCATGTTTAGAATAATAAGTATTTTACAAGTATATTTATTAGGATAAATGAAAACAATAACATTTATTAAAAACTAGATATGTGTGTATGTACTATATCTACGCCAAGAAATTGAGAAACCTATGTTATGAAACTCGAGTGCTCTTACGATTATCGTCGTTTAAGCATGGGATGATTCAGTCAATTTTCAATATTGCGCATATGAGGATATCATATAATGATAATTGATACTTTGAGACGGAGTCTGAACATGATAAGATCATTAGGTCTTCGGATTTATTAACAGATCGTCTTACATGACTGTCGTAACGATTTCTGGTAGAATGAGACCAGTGCGATGCTATTACACTTAAGTCTGTTCCTTCATATCATAAAATCGTAAAGGTTAACATCAAAATCAAACATTCATGCGACATACACATCTAAGACAGGTAATAAAAGAACTTCACAAGACGATTTACAACAGCTAGGTACGATAAAAAGAGCAGTAAACGATACAGCTAATAAACAGAAATTATAAAGAAACATAGGTTCACAAAAAAATAATTTTATATCGTTGTACTTTTATGGTAAGATATAGCAAAATATGTTAGAATATTTTAATCTGTATAGTGCCTTTAATCCTTTCAGCTCTTTTTCTATGTCGTATCCATTGAGATCAAGATGTCAAGCAGCAAAATATAGATTTATAATAGGTATGAAGAATTATTGAATGTTATATTTTTATGTACTGAGGATGTTTGACTGGAGGGTTTTAAATTAGTGGAATGTTTTGGCTTGCCATTGGTTGACTACGCGCTAAATGAACGAACGAGACTAAAAGGATTAAAGGGACTAAAGGGATTCCTTGGGGATCTAAAAGTAAAACGACATAAAATTTATTTTTCATGAACCCCTCATAATATCATACTTAAAATAAAGCATTATATTTCGACTTTTTCTAAACTAAATTAAACATATAGAATGAGTGTATTCAAATTAAAATTTTTTTTTATATTACGCATGATTTATTTTGATATGACGGGTTTACCTTGCGGCGCTGACCGCCTTATTTATGCCGAGTTATCTGATAACTCAGAAGGTCACATTACAGACCTAATGACAAAAACTTCAAGAGAAGGCGAGAAACCAAGAAAAAGAAATTACAAATAGCTTAAGAAAAGACAAATTCGTATAGATGATCGAAAAAGGCATGACAATCATTTTCAAGAAATGCTGAGAGCCTTTTGCTCAGTCGACCTACTGACATGTGCCTTAGGTACGCTTTAATTCGATAGTGATTATACAGTTGAGTGAATAAGTGCTTGTATTGAAGGGTACATTCGAGGAGAACCAGTTCATACGCTTGGATACTTTTCATGCGTTTCAACAGACCTTGTCTGTATTTTGTTTCAATCGTGGGCAGATGAAAGTGTTGATGGAGATCATATGTATGACATTGGAATAGATAATAGATCAATCTTAACCCATGTAATAAAAACCGCATGAAAATCGGCGGTTAACCGCGGTTTTACCGGTCCGGTTACCGGCTCCCATTACCGCAGAACGGATAAATACCGCGGTTTACCGCAAAAAATGATCCGGTATTCGCAACATGGGAAGCATCGTCGGTAGAATGAGGTTAATCGTTCACGTGCAGTTTTTGAGAAAAGGCAATAAATTGATGCCAGCATGTAGAAGTGTGGCCATATATAAGTATTAAAGAATTTCATTTTTAATTCTGAGAATGGTGGGAATTGGCGATGGATGAATTTTAAAATTGCATAAGCTTTCCTTATTTTTGTAAATTGAGCATCAATCATATTGTGAAACGATAGCTTTGCGTCGAGGTGAAAGCCTAGATATTTGAAGTTCTTTCTTTGCATAATTTTAACTCTGTTATAGTAAATAGTTAGATTGGGACTTTTAACTGACTTGTGGTACACTACAAACTCAGTTTTATTTGGGTTTAATGGTTGGTGCCATTTTTCTGCGTAATTTAGCAGTTCAGTCATGTCGTTGTTGATTCGTTCTTCAATTTTGACTACTTGTGAACTGAATTTCAAAGGAATTGATGGAATGTAGACCAGTGCGATGTCATCCACGTATGCATGTACTTGTGTAGGATGTTCAAAACATTGCGGGGTATCATGATGAGCGATAACATGCATGACAGAACCGAGGCAGCTGCCTTGAGGAGCTACTCTTTCAACATTAATTAAGGCTGACTCCACACCTCCGTACTCAATTTTAAGAGTCCGGTCAGAGAAGTAGTGAGCAATTCAAACAAGATAGGCAGCAGGACAGTTTAGTCTATATAGGTTGAGTAGAAGTCCTTGTTGCCACAATTTGTCGAAAGCTTGTAAAAAATCAATGCACACGACCGGAGTGAATGAATTGTAGAGAAGGGATTGAGTAATTTGTTCTAAAAAACAGTTGACTCTAGACGTTGTCGCTTGATGCGGTCTAGCACCTGATTGTTGAGCTGGTAATATAATCATTCTTGTCGTCCAACTGTTGAATCTAGTTAAAAATAACCTTTCGTAAATCTTGCTGAATATTGACAACATAGATATTAGTCGTAATTGATTTGTTGTTGGAGCTGGATTTTCCGATTTATTGAGACATATGGTTCTGGCTGTTTTCCACTCACTTCCCCATTGAGCATTTCGAAAAAGATCATTGTAGGCCTGTGTAAGCAGAGCGTGGTAATGTTCAGGGAGAAGTTTGATCATTATATTCGATACTTGATCAAAACCAGATGATTTTTTACTTCTTAATGAACGAATAGCACCTTTTATATCTTGTACACTAAATTTAAGATCTGATTGACTGGATGTTAATTCTATATCATCAATATCAGCTAGACTGTATAATTTCCATACATCAACAACTTCCTTTTCTAGATCATTGATCATATTCAGTATAGGATGGGAATGCCGCTCGGTAAAAATGACGCCCCAGGCACTTTCCAATATCTGTTGGCGGTCTATATATTGTATTACTATCTGTCAGTGCCGAAAAGTCAACGGATTTCTTTTTGTTCAGCATCTTCATTGTTTGCCGGGAAGAGGTTGGATTCGATGAAGCTACGTTTGAAATAAACTTTTCCCATTTTCGTTGTCTATATGCTTGAAATTCTTGTTTGACGAGAATATTCCATGATCGAAGTCTTATCCGATCATCTTCATATTTTGAATGTCGATATCGATTTTGTAGATAATGTTTATGGCGAATAAGAATTCGAAGTGAAGATGAAATTGATGGACGTTTTCGTTTGATTCCTTTCCATTCTGTTACTCTAAGTTTGAGAGCTGCCAGAAATCGTTCAAAGCTCAAGAACCAATTGTAAATGTTAATAGAATCATTCATTGAGTTTTCTTTTTCAGTTTGAATTTGATCAAATAGAATAGTAAGAATCGATGAATAAAGTTTCCAATAAGTACACGGTACGATGTGCATGTCGATTAATACATGTAGACGTAAGAATTTCGTAAAAACTGGGAGATGGTCGCTACCCATATATGGCAATGTGTGACTTTCAGTTGTTTCAGGAATTTCACTTGAAATGACTAGATCGATAGTTGTATTAGAACGTAGAGAGGTCCTTGTGCCATTATTAAGTACCTTCAAGTTCTGTTTGTTGAGCCAGTTAGCTAATATTCTTCCTTTGGAGTTCACTTGTGAACAGTCCCAATCCGAATGTTTGGTATTAAAATCTCCTACCAGGACGATTTTTTTCGATTTTCTTCCATAAATTTGTCATTGTAGATAGTGGTAATGGTTCTGTAGGTGGAGAATATATACTTGCGACGATAAATTGTTCATTTTCAATTGTAATTCGAGCAGCAATAACATTCGGTTCGTTAATTTCTATCAGATAACTTTTTAATCTTTTATTCACAGCGAGTACAACACCACCATGTGAATTTGTACCTTCTTTTGTATAAACATTGTATAAAAAAAAGAAGTTGTTTAATAATTTTGTCGGGAACTAATGAACCAAGTTCGTTCAGAGAGATAATTGATGGAGAAAATGAATGCACCATATCGATGAGATCAGCTTGATTTGAATTAAAGTAACGAATATTGTAATGCAATAAAGAGAGCCAATTTACTGGTGTTTTTGGTTGGCAATGTTGATTTTGCCAAAAATTTGAAAGTTCATCTGATTTCCAAGTCCAACAGCACTCTTGTAATGTCTCAAATGCAATTTGTTTTTGATGTTCAGAGAGATCATACAGCAGTGGTAGATAATTTTTCTGATAATTCGATAAATTTGTATTTGTTAAACTGCAGAGAGCTTGAGTTACTGATGAGAGACATTTGAATTCGGAATATCTGTATTATTGACTGTTGATTGATGGTAGTAATGATTTAAGTTCGATTGCCGATTCGACAATAATCCTTTAATTTTTTCATTAAACTTTTTGAATGATTCTTGGGAAGTTCGATTTGTAGATGATTGTGATAATATGTGGTCAATATCTTGAATAGATGGGAGAACTATTGCATTTATAAGACTTTCTATTTCACCCTGACGATTAGACGATTCATTGATTTTCTTTTCGATTTCCCATAATTGTGATGACAGGCGAGAGGAAAATTCATCTAACCGACATTCCATATTGTTAAAAAAAGACGATAATGTGTATTCAATATTTTTCTGTTGACCATGCTCAAGTTGTTGTTTTCGAATTATACTTGAGCATAAGTTCTTTGAGAAACATTCATCTGCTGAGGTTGTACACTAGAAGATAAATGAATCGGCATGTCATTACTTATAGCCGGAAATTCACGTTCTTGATAACCAAATTGATTTTGTTGTCGATCTGGAAGTACCAAAAGTTCAGCTCTTTGCCTTTTCGATAATTCAACAAGAGCTTGACGTTTTTCCTGGACGACTGCACAAGCGTAATGCCCAGAAATCTGATCGCCGCGGCAGTTGACACATCTTTCTTGATTCTGACAACCATGTTCAAGTGAATGTTCTTCAGTGCATTTTGGACTTAAACGTGGTCGAGAGCAAGTTTTTGTTGTATGATCATGTCTTAAACATTTCAAACATTTATTAGTACGTATTAGCAAATGATAAGGTCTTATTGGATGTATCATAATACCAACATCGATTTTTCCCGATCTTATAAAAGTTTTAACTTCTTCAATAGATTTAAAATCAGCACGAAGAGCATTTAATGATGAACCGTCTTTTACTCGCAATCGTGTAATCGTGTAATTTTGTATAAGAAAACATATCGCTGCTGTAATTCTAGTAGTCATTCATCTTCATTCCAGTTACGATGAAATTGTTGAATAACAAGTGAAAAAGTTGATGAGTCATCTGAAAAAAACAAGAAGAGAGTGTAAATGGCCAAATCGTGCTGTAATCACTAAATCAATTCCGTGGTGATTTTTCCATTTCAAGATTAGGTCATCCGTAATTTCCTTCACTGAAAAGTTTTGTTCAACATTGAATTTGATGATGATCGGTGGAAATGATATCTTCGAAATGTTTGTTTGATGAGTCATCATACGAGGTTCTGATTCCATTCTTTGATGCCGTTCATCTTGATGTTGATTTGGTGGCGATACATTAATTCTATGACGTTTATTTGCGTTTCTTTCATTCGTAGGTTTCCGGTTCGACACCGGTGTCTGTTGTTCATACAACTCGGGCGTCATTGACGGCTGATACCCCTCTTTATGAATATGAGTCATAGGGAGGGATATATCAAAAGAAAAAGATAAAGGAACGTTGTAATCGATGTATACTCGACCGAACGAAAATGAATATGAATGACTGTATTCAAATACCACCATGATATTAATTTAATATTAAACTCTAAACATTTCAGAGAATACAAGAAGTGTATCCTTCAATTAAAACTAACTGAATCGTAGACCATCGTTTTACTTGACATTTTCTCTGACGATATATATGTGGCAGTAGAGTTTAGAATCTAGTTGAGATTGGAATTGTTGATTATTCTATAAATATTATGAGAGAGTGATTCACATCCAGGTTATTATCGATCAGTCGGTTCTTGTCGGACGGGTTATAATTCCGATGTAACATGGTGACCGGATTTGGTCGGTTAATTTCTGGTGAATTCCGATGATTTTCTTTGTTTTCTTATGAAATCTAGTTACCGGATTCTCCGAGAACCGGCGAGATTTACATTGCCGGAAAATATCAGGCCAGATGATACGATTGGGCCGTATACGCGTGATCCGACAATATCCGGTAACGAAACTTTCCCGGAATCCGTCGTGCCGCATGTCGTCGCTCGATTTCATGGTAGATCCGACTTAATCAGTATCACCAGAACCAATCGGATCATATCAGAACCGAACGGTCCTACTCACCGGATTAAGCCACTTACTACAACACAGATCCGACCGACAACATCTGCAACTAATTACCAGATGCTAAAGGAAGATCTTGTGATCCATTCCGACCCTTAGTTAACAGCTCACACAACCGATGAAAAGCATGAATTACAAATTATGGTTAATCCAATAGCTTATTTATGAAAAATCAATCCACATGAACAACATGATTATGTATTTATTGATGCTGAACGAAGTTATCGACTCGAATGAAACTCACTCAAGTCGCTTATCATAGCTCCAGCTAATCAGCAGTGGGCAATGAATCGATCGGTGCGATAAATGTCCTTTTCAAGCGGGAAAATGTCGCTCAAGTCAAAAATGAATTTTCTTCCCGTTCTTCATATAGAAGACGACCGACTGTATACATATGTGTGTGCATTGATATTCAAGCACTTGCATATGAACTAAGCATCCAGCTCTCCTACCATTCAACAGAATTAATGTATTGCTTGAAATTACTTTTCCTGTTAGCCAACGCATCACGCATTGATTCAATTCTTCTCGTGTTATTTTACATTAAACTAGAGCGATTATATCAACGCTTTCATTACTGTAATATAAAGCATTCTCCCTAGAATTTATGCATTGAAATCATTTTCCCAATGTTCTATCATCTTTCTGACAACGTGCTGATATAAATGTAAGTCGTAATAACTTCACTTTTCTACATTATAACATGAAGCATTGTCAAGGAATATCATAGTGAGATAAATGCTCATTTCAAGCCGAAAAATACCGTTCAGGTCAAAAATGAATTATTTTCCTGTTCTGTCTATAACAGAAGATACACTATATAAGTATAAGTCAGCGTGTTTATACTAAATTCATATCGAGTACTTTTGTTGTCACTGTTCAGAAAAGAAATCCGTGCATATACAACATATTCCCTGCTATACAGAACTTTACAAACACCAAATATCACCAGTTTTCATTTTCATTTTCATTCTTCACATTCCTTCTTTCCCAACGATTCATTGAACCCAAATTTCTTCTCATCTCTTTGAAATTCGTCACGCATCACCACAAAACTATGAAAGCTTTCGCTTATATCGTAAATGATTTTCGGCATCCCATCTTTATCCAAATTTACTCATCACTGTTTTAACCAAAGTCAACCAAAATCTAACCGATTGTAAATTTTCTCAACATTCTTAGTACCGCGCAAACTCCTTTTTCTCTCATCGAGAATACCTGTACGTTCATTTCGATTATATGCGAGCGAATTTTTCTCTATACGAAAAATGATGTTTTATTTATCTAAACTATTTTTCCCATTGAGTTTTTCATTTTCCCCCTGTAAACTCATTTTTCTGCCAATTGTTGGGGGAACGGGATATGTTCGTTGCTGTTTTTTTTTGTTTAGTGTGTGTATCGTTAATTGGTGTTGGATCATTTTTGATCGAGGGGAATTTTTCCGCTGCAGAGAAGCATTTTTTGTAACCGATGAATTTAGTGCCCAACCCTCGTTTACTCGGTCTGATAAGACCGAACGCATCATTTCAAATCACCAAAAAACGCTTTTCCGGTCGCTGGAATATTGCTTACGCATAATATTAATAATTTCATATGCCAATAAATCGTTTTCGGATGTCACTCAGACTCCTGTTTCACGAAGAAACGCTACGTTGGAACCATTGAGAATGATTTTCTGAATGATTCTCTACGTCTTAGTGGATTTTTTGATACGTCCAGTTTGCGCTGTGGAGTGAGTTTCGTCAAACGAAAGTGTGGTTGGATCCGTAATGAAAGATACATAGAATCCAGTTTCACGAAGAAAACCTACGTTCAAACTATCGACAATGTGTATTTGAACGATTCTATGCGACTGATACAATATTTTGATTGGTGCAAAATGATGCGTGGAGCGATTTTTGCCTTATTAGTGTGCAAGAGTATGACTCTTTAGATATGTGCAGAATGATTTTAATTGATGAAAACGTTAGTGGTGATGTTTTAGAACGACATTCAGATGCATTTTCAATGAATTACTAATGATTTCAATAGATGCAAAATGATGTTTGGAGCGATTTTTCTTTAATATTAATGCAACAAGATGACTCTTTAAGGAGGTTTAGAGTATTATTAGGTGATGGATAAGTGGGTGGTGATGGTCCAGAATGATAGTAAGATGTATTTTCAATGATGAATGCAATTTTACGATGGGTGAAAAATGATTTATGTGGCGGTGTTTTCAAGAATTGAAATTGTACAAGATGACCCGCGAAACGGGTTTAGACTCTTGTTTAATGAATAAGAAGTATGGTAGCATGGTTCTGCACTATTTTAAGCGTGTTTATTGTTAGCCCAGCTATTGATTGATTCGGGTTGCAATGTTGTTCAAGGTGATTGCTAATGGTGGAAATCCTTATTGTGCCGTCTCTTCTGGTGATATTAGGGCTATGTGGGATGATTCATGAGGCGTAGTTTTGTCGGTTGGTAAGCGTTTTCGGAAGATTACAGATTATTCACCTTCTAATTGAGGAATGCTTGTATGAGGGATTTTGTATGAGGACCTGGTCATCGGAATCTGATGGAATCCGGTGAAAGTTGTTGTGAAGCCCTTAGGAACCCGGCATCACCCGGCAGTCTGGGTCGATTGGTTTCGACAATGCCCGGTTGTATTATCCGGCAGGAAACGACTGTACCATTTTCGTTTGAACTCCGGCCCGGATTCCGGGAGTAGAGGTTCCACCGAAATCCCTGTCGGATTCTGGCAGATTCCAATGGTAAACATGCCTACTTCTGGAGTGATCCGGTACCGATTCCGATGGGTTCCGGCAGGATCCGGACGCAGAATCGAGTACCTTGGGTAGAAATAAAATTTTATTAGTGAGTGATATCAGATAGCATGATTGAGTATGTAGATTCAAAAAACACGTTTTTGTTTCCAAGATTAATTGTGTCTATCTTTCATGATTGAAGAGATAAAAATGACAAAGATTCTGAAAAGATGTTTGTTTTAATACTCGGGACATTGGGCCATAGGAACATTATTTTTTTTCTTTCGTTCTATATTCGAAGAAAGGAAAGAAAAGATTTTCGCTATATTTATATCAATGCTCGGGACATTGGGGCATAGGGACATTGATTTTTTTTCTTTCGTTCTATGTTCGAACAAAAGAAAGAAAGAGAGTTTTGGTATCGTTATTTCGAAGTACGGGTCTCGAGCAGGTGGGATCGGAATGGAACGAGTTTTTATATCGAATGATATGGAAGGAAAGTGAATGTTTTTTTTTTAATTTTTAATGAAATAATAAAGATGTTTCTTATATGAGTAGTCAATTTGATGTGTTATTATCTACAATCATTCTTCGTTAAAAAAAATAAGCTAATATAAAAGAAACTTCGTATTTTATGTCTAATCATCGTCTGTTTCATAGTGACGAGTATCAATTATAAAAACTTAAATTCATAAAGAAATGATGACAAAAAATTGGATATTAATAAATTCCACTAAATTTTTAAAGTGTAAAACTCGGATAAATAAGTATTTGTTTGATGATGTAACATTATTGTCATAATCAAAGAAGTATTTTATTACCTTTTAATATTAAAGCATCAATTCAACAAGATAAATTAAGTACTGAATGATTCATACAAGCGAGATGAGAGCGCGTTGAGATAAATGAAAAATAAGAATTAAAATTTTTTAATGCGGTGCGAAGCACAGCATTTATGTAGTCCGTCGCGAGTTTTTAATGCGATGCGAAGCAGAAGCATTTCTGTAGTCCGTCGCGAGTTTTTTTTTTCTTTCTTTTTTACTTGAGGTCGTACGCATCTTTTCTG